GAGTTAAAATATAAACAATAAAATACTGTAAAGTGTTTTAACAATATAAAACTGGAGGATAAATAAAAATATGCAGCTATGGACTATTTTACAGTAATGGATATTTGAAACTAGCAGCAACATCAGAGATTTGCAGAATGACAGCAGCAGGTTATTTAACTGACTAAGGTTTCTATCATTACATTTGATTTGATTTGTTCCTGCTCCCGGTGGTTGGAACATTTATTACACTCTGGATTCTCATCAGTCTTTGTTCACTTTACAATAAAAAAAGACAAACAATTACAAAGAAAAAGTTTTGGAAAGTTCGGTAATTATTCCTTTCCTGCTTTGTGTGTCAACTGTCACGTTGCTAAGCAACAGAGCATACGGCGGTAAAACTCGCCGAAGGGTAGACCTGTTTGGATTCACAGCCAGAACTTTTCCAGTCTCCTTACTTTCAAGGACTTTAAAGGATCCAGTCCAGGTAGATGGTGTTCTTGCAAGATGAAGCCCATGAATTCGAACAGAGCTACAGTTTCCTGTAAAGCTACAGCTTCCCAGTTGGAAAGCAATGGTGAAAAGGTTCCTAATTGAACAAAGTTAACCTGGAAGTAAACAAACTTGGTGCTAAAAGTGTGTGCATCTGTCCAAGTTCAGGGCAGAAAGGAAGCTGGCCCCAGCCCTCAACTGCCTTACAGGACTGAAGTCCCTGCTGCTTTTTTCCACATGTGTTGCTATAGTAACTTCAGCTGATAAAGAGATAGTAGAAATATTAAAATATCTTCTCTGTTGTTTCTTTTCTTTGCAGGTTGTGGGTGTCTCTTTAGAGACATGCAGCTAATCTCTCCTGATGATTCACAGCAGTTGAAGCTGCAGTTTGGAAACTGACTGGATCTTGATGGACTCCTATTGTTAGATATGTATTTATGTTTGTTAAATAGTGTGCTATATTGTATGTGTTCAGAAAATTTTTAATTGAATGAAAATTAAGCTGCATTAAAAGGCTACATGTGTCATTTTATCTGAATCTTATGAAGCCATAAAGTTGCTCTTTATCCAATTTATTTTCAGTATCTACCTATTAAATGTATGATCAAGCTAATTTCTGAAGTTTTAAGGCTAAATGTTCCTTTCAGATGTATTTTTTGCAAATGTTTGCACAGTATCTACTTTTGCAGCTCTGGCTCTCACTTTATGTATTATTGCTAAAAAGCTAAGTGAGTAATATATGCTTTCTTACTTTAGAGGATTAACCTTTTGTTGATTTTAAACTTCAACACTGTTTTCCCTCTTTTCTTGAAAAACAGAAACTAAGCAAAGACAAAGTTTCATGTACACAAATTTCTCCTATGTTGATATTAAAAACACTTTAAACACTCTAAAATTACTCAGGCATTTTGGTCTTATTTGGAGGATCTCTGAGATTTCTGTAAACTTACCAGGATAGTTTTGACCATTTTCAAAATCTGCCTGTCATAAATATGAAGGATTGTGTCCTGAAAGTCATCGACAATCAGTTTATTTTTCCTAGATATAAACCTTTTACGAATCTGAATTTATTATCTAATTATATCTGTATAGTGCCTTGAGATTAAGCAATGTGAACTGACATTCTAGAAACAAACTGAATTGAAACATACCTTATTTTCAGCTGCATTGCTGCTCTTTTTCATGTTATGTCATGTTCCGGAACTGGAAAGCCACGAAAGTCAATCAGCATCAAAAGCTCATTTTAAAAGGCCTCCGATCCGCAACTTGTCTACTGCCTGGTTGCGCTGTGTGACTTTATTCAGATGACACAGGTTAAACATACCTCCATCCTTTCCTCCACCATCATAGCTAAAGCTTCATCAGAGCGTCATTCCCCCCCGGCTCCTACTGTGTTCCCTATCTCATTCAACCCAGTCTCATGGGAAAATGTACCCCCACTACGTTGGTCAACACTGCAAAACGTAGTGGAGGTACATTAATGGACATTTTTTTTTTGTGGTACTGTTAC